TGCTCAGCTCCACCCTCCTTCTGGGTGGGGCACGGAACTTGGAACTTCCCCTGTTACAACTAGTCTGCCTCCTGCTTTACTTGCCCCAGCCCCTGAATGAGGCATTCCTTCGAGAAGCTCTAATTGGGTCCTGGGGCAGGAGGGAGGGCCTTTGCCACTGCTAAGGCATTGTTCTCAGTGAGCTTTACAGGAAAAGTCTTCATTTCAGTGACACTTGTAGTTTGCAGTTTTCCGTAACCTCTTTACAGCTGTGTCTGCTCTCTTCCATACCAAACTACCCTTTTTTCCCCCAGGATACAGGGTAGAGTTGGAGAATAGAATTAGAATATTTATTACTTACTTTTTTCATCTCCTGTTGCAACCACATGATTTTGGTATAACAGAATGTGGCTATCGGAATTTGACTTGTTTTCTCCTTCAGGGTGTTATGTTATTAACAATATCTGTTGTTATTGTCTTTCTAATCTTTACAGTTAAAAAAGTTTTATTACTTTTGTTCTTTTTGTTTTTTCAGTTTTCTATCTTCTCTTTCTCTCGAGGCTTCACTTTTGTGTGCTTTGCTCCGGTGTTCCTTGTAGCTTGGTCTTCATTTCATTGTCTTTTCCTTTCATCTTTAATTCTTTCCTGACTATAGTCAGCTCTTGTCTGCGTTTTCCTGATTCTGATTTGTGTTCTTTTATGTGTTGTGTCATTGTTTTTAGGTGGCTGTAAAATAGTATGGTTCAAGTTTTGGTCTGTTTTCTTCTTTCTGGGGCCCTGTGTTTTTGATGTGCTGTCTTTGTCTGCGAAAATGTTACTCTGTTCCTTTCTCTCTTTTTTGTTACAATAACTCTGTATGAGATTTGACCTCAATATTTTCCGTGGTCCAATCTATGTGAAGTTACTCTTCCCCCCCTCAACATTTAGATTGAGAAGGGCTACAGAATAGCTTTTCTAACTGTCTAGAGAATAGCTACAGAATAGCTTTTCTAACTTCCTCTTCTGTTGTTTCTGAGTAGTGTTTAAAAATATAGCTGCTTGTGTTTTGAATTTCCTGGACTATTTCCCTTCCCACTTAGGTCTCAACTTTCTCTTTCTATGCCTTTTGGAGCCCTCTCCTGTTGAATTTTGACGCCACTTCTGGAAGTTTCTCTTCCTGGCTGGTGTCTGCCCTGGGAAGAATCCTGCTGGGTCTGTGTTGAGAGTTGATGGGTCTGAATGTCCCCTGTACATTCATCCCTTTTTACTTTTTATCCTTCACACACAACCAATAGTGGAGGGCGCACTAACCTTTTACTTTCAGCTGCTGCTCTCAAGTTGGTCTGCTGTGTGGCAACTCCTGTTAGCTATTTTGGGGTTCTGCTGTCCTCACGCCCTTCAGAATTTCATTCTTCTACCTCCTGCCCACACTGATACTGCGGAAACCTGTCACTCTAGCTGGTTTTCCTCCACCCCATTTAGAGTTTGAACCTTGTCCCTGAGGTTTGTCTTACTTCTTTGGATGCATTTTGTAATTTTTCCTCTGGTTCTGGTGGGGATTAGGAGGTCATGAAAACTCTGTTTCCGCCACACTTCTAGAGTGCTTCCCAGTGTTGCTATTTTAACATATTAAAAATGCATGAGCAAGCAGGTCGAGGAGTGTAAGAATTTCTTAGGTTGAGCACAGAACCGGAGACTGAACCAGTACTGCTTCTCTGGGCGGGAAATCAAGAAAAGCTCACAATTCGGCTGGGGGGCTGTCTGGGCAAAGAGCCTGCTGCTGCGTTTTTAATTTTGTTTGTTTTCAGCACTTTTCTTTTTGTGGAGCTTGATCTCCCCATTCAGACACACCCCTGCGGCCCCTGAGTCTGTACTGTGTGCTCGTGACTGTTGCATAGTATCTCCGTGATGCTGTATTCTTTGAAGCCAGGCTTTGAAATATTTTTTAAAATGTCTTGTTATCATGTCATAGCTATTTCGGTTCATCTGGCTTCTGGCTTTACTTTGTTATGATGCCTGTTCTGTTTATAATGCAGACTGGGTTTGTGATCAGTAAGTCTGTTACTGTGTCCTCGGTGCTTATGCAGTGAACAAAATGTAAGCCGTTATCCTTTCCCTGAGGATGACGGGCTCATCTTTTCTGCCTTTTGGGTGACGCAGGAAGCGAAGGAACTAGTTTCTTAATGACCAACTCTTTTCCTCCTCCCCTGCAACCCCAAGACTAAGTAACTTCAGTATATTTTGTAGATGATACTGATGAAGATGTTCAGTCAATTAGACGTAACCAGATCTTTGAATTATCGTCTTGATTTGGAGTTTAGCATTATGTCATAGTTAGGAACGTCTAAGATTCTAAGTGAAAGTCGGGCTTAATCAACACAGATCCTCATCAGCCCGAGGAATGTATTTGCTCTAAGTGGTCTAAATTGCTACCCGTGCTTCTTCAGAGTTGCTGTCTCTCCCACACCGTAGCGGACAACAGTCTAGGTAATTTGTGCCATCTTTCTACATATTCTTTTGACTAGTTAAAATTGGGCAAAAAGGCAACCAGCGACTCTATAACTTCTATTTTAACTAGTTTATTTTCAAGGAAAGCTCCTTTGACGCTTCCTAACTTAAAATCTGTTTTCTTGCAACTTACCAAAAGATGATTCCTTTCCAAGCTGAGCTCCAAAGTGGCCGGTGTCATCTGTGGGCATATCTCCCAGAGAGTGAAGGCCATTGCACTCCTGTCTGCAGAGTGATGGGGTCACAGATAGCCTGAATCACCCTGCCTGTTTCCAAACAGTGGCTCCCCATTTTGCAATGTGGTGTGTGATGCTGGGCACTGACAAAACCTCCTCAGTGTCTCCATTCCTCATCTGTGGAGTGTGGTGGAAGGGTCCCTGTCTCAGAGAGCTGCTGTAAGGGTTAGAGGAGACAATCTAGTGACCTCAGCCTTCAGTTCACTGAGTGGAAATGGAGTTTCATGATTTATTACGCTCTGTGCTGGACAGCTGTCATGTGATAATGAACAAAAATTCCTCCATTTCACTGGTAATCACACTGAGGAACATAACACTGCCGTTTTGATGAGTGCAGTACATGGTGTGAAGCACTCTCAGAGCATTTTATAGGGATGGACGCTGGCTGGGAAGTGAAGGACAAGCTCTGTGTGAAGGTTGAGTTAAGACTGAAAGGGCAACAGGTTGATTCAAGTAGGTGACAGTTGAGGTGATGGTGGTTGAGCATGTGCAAGACAGAAGTGTTCCAGGCAGAGAGAAAGCTGTGGAGAAAGGTGTGGTGGCCAGTGGAAAGTTAGTGACCATGGGGAAATGAAATAAAACCAGTGTGTGAAGAGTACAGTGGCCCATGGTCCCCGAAATGAGGACAGCAGTTCAACAGGAAGGCCTGACCGTAATTTGGGGCCTTTAATTAGACCATGTGAAGAAAGGTGATCTAACAAAACAGTCATAGGTGTTTATTCGAATTTTGGGCAGGTATTTTCAGTGGTCCATTTTTATTATTGTTGCTATCAATATTTTTATTCCTTAGCAGTCTTTTCTGTGAAATATGTTTACTTAAAACCTTAATGCTTATTCATGGGTGCTTTGCCCCAATCTCTAGTATTGTTCTCCAAAAACTGATTCCCCAGTTCTTCCATTTAGGAATAATTCTGAGAAGATTGCTTTGTTTTCTTTCCTTCAGGTTACTGTTTGAGGTGAAATTTGCTTTTGTATAGCTCTAGGCAGGTGAAATGGAAAGCAATCGCCAAGAAGTTACCTGCTATGACCCACGACACATATCAATAGTTTATGCTTTTTTGCCTTTATGAAAAAAGCTCAAGCACTGTTGTTACTTGTCTAACTTAGACTAAAACCAGGGTTCTTAGCAATTTTGGTATTTTGGGTTGGCAAGAAACTCAGAGTGATTTCAGATGTTTTGCTAATATCCAGCAACAGCTTTTTGAAATCTCACACCTGTGTGGAAGTAGGAGGCTAAAGGTGACTGGTGTGTGTGTGTGTGTGTGTCTGTGTGCATGCATGCATGTGCTCACATGTGTGACCATGCTCACATGCATATTTTATAGCTTCTGGTCTAAAATCGGTCAGAGGAGATTCCTGGGGGTCTGTGGAGCACCCTGAAGATCAGGGCCATAAGCGTGGAACAGGTCATTACATGAAGTCCTACAGAGACAGATGTCCTGAACTTACAAAACCCCCCCCCAAAATACAGGAGCCTTGGGGTGTTCTGCCCTGCTGTCAGGCCCTGTTCGCGCCCATCCTTTCCCTTCTGGTTCCTGGCACGCCTGCTAGGTAGAAGGTGCTCTCCTCTCCAGGAAGAGATTTGTTAATCATATTAGCAGTATTTTAAACCACCCAGTATCTTTGTATTTGTATCTCTGTCTCTCTATCTACACACACACACACACACACACACACACACAAATATACATGTCACATTTCATGGGTTTTGCATCTTCCCAGTGGTTTTCTGAGAATGTATTAAAACTACAAAGTGCTTTTGTCAGTAAGAATTGTCTCTAGCAAGCTAGATGATGTGTAGGATTTTGGATTTTGGGTTTGGGCCCATGGGGGGGGGGTCTTGATTCCCTTTATATCATTATTCTCTTAATCGCTTATTCCATAAGAAACACAAATGTAATAAGCAGAGAAATCAGGTGAAGTTTTTGTTTAGCCTGTGTTTAATGACAGAATTTCAGGTTTCTTGATTTAGCTCTGCACATATTTCATGCCATGTAATTCACTTTCTGTTATGTAGTCTGTTAGTTAATGGTAATTATTTAACTTAGAGGTCATACTTAATATTTGATTAAAATGTTAATAAGATGTGGGTAAAGAGTTAATGGTTGAGAATATTTTGGGTTAATGGCATTAGATACATCTTCCTGTGGTTTCCTATAGGAACTAAGTTCCCCCTAGTAAATTGCTTCCTTCCAGAGGCTAGAGCCCCTTTTGTGTATTGCTGATCCCAGACGTGTAACACTTCATATCACTCAGGGAGCAGGTCATTATTCTGAAAGAATATTACATGTGTTCCAGGACCTGATCTCCAGGTTTGCATATCCAGAAAGCCTACATGTTGCACCAAGAAGATGGAGGAGAGATTCCAGATTGTAGCTCGCCAAGATATGCAGCAGGTGCTGCAAACAGCCAGCTCTCCATTAAAGTCCCTCATATCTCGAAATGCAGCTGCTTTTCAAGGTAAATGTATCATGTATTGTGAAATCTAGTCTTGTTATGTCATCGGTCTATGGCCATGATTGTCTAAACCTGGCTGGGTTTACTTCTTTAGTTTTGCATATTGTTCTGGTAGAAAATGAGGTTTGGTTTTTGTCTGACCTTCAGAACTTGTATCTGAGGCCACTCTCGGGCATATAAATATCTGGACTGGAAAAACTGTTGTATAATGAAATGACCCTTGGGGATATAGACCCTTCTGGGGTTTTTTCCTGATCTCTCAGTATTCTGCTCCATTGCTTTACTGCATTGTGAACAGATACAATTAGATTTAATTAAACTATTCTCTTACATAAAATCTCATGGCTTTTAACTGGGTAATTATATATGTATTTTTTCCTGAAAGGTATTTACTTATATAGAAGGAGCATTGCATCATAACCTTATATAACTTTCAGGTTTGTATCACTAAAAATAATATGTGTGTATTCTGTAAGTCCTGTTTTGAAGAAATATTTGTCTAATTTTCCACCCTGCAGCTTCATGTGGTTTTATAAGAATAACAGTATGATACATCAAAGTTCAGACAAGTCTGGTAAATAGTAAAATAGGAAACATTAATTGGATATTTTTAAGGGTTGGCTATGATCAGAACTCAACCTTAATCCAAACAGTATGTTCAGAAATAAAATTAATGGGTTATAAAATTATAAAGCATACTGGAAAATAGATGATCTTTTTCTTGATTTTAGTCATCTCTTCTATAAAATTCCTTATTACTACAATAAAGTAGCTTAATTTATTTTTCCTTTTACAAAGCATTACTATTCTATTTATGAATAAAGTGAAAATATCTAGATTAAATTGCTTTCCAAACAAATTTATTGCTTTCGTTCAATGCAAAATATAACTTTTTAAGTAAGTATATTAATGCCAATCTATTTAAACTGTGCTTTGTTTACATACATAACTAAATCACAAAGCTGATTAATTTTTAAAACTATACTTAACTAAATAAATACAATAAATCAGGATAAAATTTGAGTTAAAATGTAGATCATGATGAATGGATGTTGTTTTGTAGAAGCCATGGAATGTCAGATTTTAAGATGTTATTAATTTAGTCATTTTAAAGATATCTTAGAAAATAACGTTATTTCTATTATGGAATTTATTCATGTGATGGAGGAGAACATACCCATGTGTCTTTTATGCAAGCTCTGCTTGATTTGAACTGGCTGAACTGAGAGACTTTTTTTTATCACCCACAGAGAATGTTGTCGTGATATTTTTTTCTCAGGAAAGTGATAGTTTATGCAGGGAATGCATTTTAGAGATCAAGAGGCAGTGGGTAGACTCTTTAGAGTAGAGTTGGGGGTGTGGGTGGGATTTGTGGATCATGTATTTGAAAACTTGAGCTGGGTTCACCTTGAAGAAGATGGAAAACATTGACCTGAGTGTGAGAAAATCGCTGATATTTAACTAGGGAAACTCCATTATGATTTTTTTCTCTTATTGTCAAAACCTAATCCCTCCAAAATGAGGATCTGTGGCAGAAGAAGGTGATGACAAATCAAGCCTACTTATCTTTGGGTAGCAGTGTTAACTGTAGCGGAAGAAAGAGCCAGCAGTTACTAATAACACGTAGGTACTCAGTGAATGTTAGTTGAACACTTTCTTCTGTCTTCAGCAGTAGTGTAGTGCTTTTCACATACTCTTGGATAAAGTGATCAAAATAGGGCAAGTCTAGTTAAAAAGATAAAATGGAAATCCTGGAAATTTTAGGCTTTCAAAAATGAGTTTAGGCTGCTGAAAATATATTAGGAAATGCATGAACTGTCTCTGTCCACCAGAGTGTCAGGTAATGTTAGATATACTTTTATTTGCTGTTTATTTAAACATTTCATTATAAAAACGAAAGGTAGAGCCTTTTGTTAAATCACATTTAATAAAATGTGATTTGCTAAAAAAATACTGTTAATTTTCTTCTTTGGTGCTATCAAATTTTACTTAAGGATCATGAGGAAGCAAGATAAGTTTACAAGGAGTTTTCCTAATGACTAACTTTATTGGAACACAGTCTCTTACAAGAAGAATATCTGCTTTTAATTTAATGAATAGGATAAGTAGTTTTAGTCTCACCTCCATAAAACAGCAAGTTTAAATATATATGCTAAAAACAATTTGAGAGATTGCTTTTGCATATAAGTACCTTATCAATAAGTAAAATGCCTTCTCTAGTTTCTGTGCAAGCAGAATATCTGAAAACAATTCAAAGTCTTACTTTTCTGAGAAGCAAGAAGCCAACACCTTGTATTGGGAAACTTTGTCTGCTTGGGAGAAATTTAATGGGACAGTCAATTCATTTCTCCAGTGAGGTAAGCAGGTTTGCTCTGTTTTGATCTTTGGTTGCATTCGTATTTTCTACTTCAACAGAACTCACCTTGTCTGGCATTATGGGCCATAAAAGGCTCTGGAGGAGGCGTAGTGTGGTGTCTTCTCTCATGGTTCATGGGAATCCCACGTTCACATGTGTTTGAACTAACCCTTTGTTTATGGTCTGTGGGGATGGCTGCTGTGGTCTGTGATTTAGCGGGCTCTACATTACAGTGAGGTGAAGGCCTGGAGCTCTGAATTGCTTAGGGAAGAGAAGAAAGTGCTGGCATCTTGGCATCTGGTGCAGGGAGTGGGAAAGTTATGCTGTGCACAGGCCACATTCAGCTCTGGAATTCAGCGCTCAGAGATCCCCACCAGGGTCTGAAAGGGCCTACTGGGGTGTGCTTCCCTTTTAATTTTTTCTTTAAGGCATGTCTTTGCCTTTGTTTCAAATTTTGTAGAAATAAACAAAACAGCCAAACAAAAATCTGTTTTTGGAAAGGCCATAGTTGAGACCTGGGGTTTCACTTTTTCCTCAGGGCAGTCGCTCTGGCAGCATTATATTAGGTACAGGGAACAAGCCGCTGTCTCCTGTCTGTATCTGTCGTCTTCATAATTGCTGGTGCTGTTTGTGGAGAGGAACTCTGGCTTTGTCACCACGCAAATAACTGGTCTTCATTTCCAGGGGCGTAAGAATGTTCATGAATAAAGCAGAGCAGTCCGTGAGAATGTAAGAGTTTATTTTCTTTCAGCTGTTTTACCAGGAGTGTGGCTTTTCCTGCTTTTATACTGCTTTGGAAATAATTTTTAATAAATGTTTTACATTCATTTATACGCTAATGAGTGGAGTGATTCAGGAAGAAGTAAAGTAAGTTGACAGAGGACTGTGTCACTTACTGTAAAAAAGGAACTTGTCCAACTTTCAGATTCATCAGTTTGTTTTGATCTTAAATGAGAGAATATAGTTTAGTTTTTAAAATTTAAAGTACACCAGTTTCAGAATCTCAAAAATGAAAGAATATTTTGGAAAAAGCTATTGTAAACTTGAGTTTTGCTTAAAAATTGGGATGATAAGTTTAAGGGAAAAAAATCTTCCTTGAAAGATATCTTTCCCTATCTTTTTCAATTTCCAATGGCTTACATATTTCTAAAATATATGGTAGTTATAAGTCTTTATTCTGGAATTTTCCCCTTACATATGGCATTTTAAAATGTACATTACTACAATAAACTGGGTGATTAATGATATTTAGAATAGTAAAGATTTAATATATTTGTTTATGATTCTATTCTCCTGGCTAATTAAATTTTTATTCCCTGAGTGTAAGTACTTAAAAGATTGGCAGGTTTTCTGGGTTACGTGTTAGATTTATTAATTTCATAAAAAGTTCCTATTCTCAGTGAAATATAGGGATATATTAAAAATTAAATATCATAATTTATAAAGAAGGCAAATTAAGATTATGAATATACAGGGGATTTTCTACCCTTAAACCAAAAGATATGAGCTGCTGTAAATTGTACAGCAAGTGTATCGTTCCTGCAAAACTAGTGTAAAGTGCTAGACACAAATACACGTGTATACAGTCAAAGAGTGCTTGACTATAATAATGTCTGAGGGCATAAATAGATTTATACAAATATTTATAGTAAGCATGGAGTACATTAATCTTAATTTGTTCACTTTAACTGTTATTTACAGAGGTGGATAATATTTATAATTATTGCTTACAAAAGCATTATGTGGGAGGATAAAGGAATAATGTTATTCCTAACAATGTATCACCTGACCAGAGCTCAGGAGTAAGGAACAGGTAGCCCTAGGCTGGCATTGTTGGAGACATTCATTTCTCTCACTCTCTGGTACCTAGCACAGATACCCACAAGTGCAGCTAAGTGTACACTGAATGAATGCTGCTGAGCAGGGAGATGGATGGCTCTGAAGGAAAATGACAAATGACAGGTTCTCTTCTGCTGTCTCTCCTTCTGCTTTCCTTCCATCTCTCCTTCAGCCTCTTCTTTTCTCCTTCTCTCTCTCTCTCTCTCTCCTCTCTCTCTCTTCCTTTTTCTTTCCTTTTTGTCTCTTTTTGTCCTCTTTTGATGCATTTAAATGTCCATTGAGTGCCCAGTAGAAGCCAAGACTATCAGGCACAGATTGTACAGAGTCCTGAAGTTAACTATTGTATTTTTCTTGGCTCTTTGAGACGTCCAGTATGCCAACATCTTGTTGATTTTATAAACTGAAAAGGAGTATGTTACATTGTTTTTATCGCTGGCATTCTAAATATGATTGCATTCTGCCCCGTTAGTTCCAGGCAGTGCGAGCTTTGGTGTGCTCTCTCATGCACAGTTCTTGGTGCCTTTGTCTTTACTCAGCTGTCCTTTATCTCTGCAATGTTAAAAATCATTTCGTCTGCACCTGTGCCAGCAGGCTGCCATTAGTTACGAAAATGGCTAATCTTGTGATATGAGAGATAAAAATTGCAGGAGCTTATGTTATATTTCACCTAAAAATAAATTTTGCTTTGCATGAAGCATGCTTGATAGTGGGGAAAATATATTAAGTATAGACGAAAGATTAGATTGACTTAACCAATTTCTTTTGTAAATTTAAAGGTAACCTTTTAGTTGTGTTCATTTTGATTGAT